ATTAATTAATTTATCCAATAGGCTCGATAGGGGTGGGCAGTGGTCGCGACACCGGGCGCCGGGATGTGACCGACGACGACGAGATTGACTACATTTTGGGCGGACTTATGAGGGATGGCGACCCGAACCGGCCCTGGCCTGAGTCCGAGTCGGGACTCAAGTTTGAGATATGCGAGTAATTTTATTGAGATGCACTTTTATTTAGTAATTGTATTTTTTATTGGATAATTTTATTATTTATTAATTTACATTAATTTTTATGCTTAACTTAAATTAATTAAAATTTCTACACAAATAATATTTAGCTTAATGCTAGTTAGCATGTAGTTTCAATTTTAATTGTGTTGTTAATTATAATATTTAATTTTTAATAATTATATGTTAATACATGTACGGTATATTATCTTAAATAGAAAATATTTAGCCAATTGGATGGATGTTTTGGAATACGTGCTAACAAAATACCCTGAGCACTCGGAGCTACATACAATGATGCGCGTAATGATCAGCGAGGCACTTCGGATCAGGCACATTAGCTGTTTCACCAGCACTGTTCACACGAGCAAACTGTTAAAATTTCACAAAGAAGTTAATAGTAAGGCCGATACAATTAAGGGGCTCCGGGAACAAGCAATTAACGTGTTTACACTGGCCGCTCAGCCAACTGGTAATAATTTTACCCTGGATGACATTTTCTGGTATGAATTATTGTTTTTCTTGGTAGTATAAAATTAATTAATTATTTTCTAGCATTTAATAGCAAAAATAATTTATTTATACAGTAGATAAAGTTAATCTAGGTTTGCTTAAGTTATAAAACCCAGATAATTGTTACTCAGAATAAATATAAAGTTGTACCTACAACTAGTAGGTGTAATAGGTATAAAATGCAGGTACCCACGTACAGTAGTAGGTTACCTAGGTATAAAATATAATTTAGCATAACTTATAATCTTTATAAAACTCTTTTTAAGATATTAATTAAATATTGATGTTTTGGGTAATAATAATTGCGAAATACATTATTTAATTAACTTTCCCATACGTTTAAACACTAGTTTTCACATGTGGTTCGCCCGGGAACGGGACTCCCTATTACCGTCCGACACACAAAAGTACCAAAACTCGCTGAAAGAGAAATCCCAGAAATCATTGAGCAAGTACTTTTTAAAAGTGGTCGGCCATAACATACCCAATGAGTGCGATTTTGCCAAATTGCGTACAAACGCCCCGACAATCACCACTGAATCCAAGCGCCAGTCCATGGGTTTGGCGCTTATCGAGGCCTTTGCCAATCAATTAAAACAATGATTAAGATAAACAATAATTTTATTTATATAAAATGAAATAAATTGCCATATTTAATAAATAAAATTTACAAATAATTTATTTAATTAAATATTATTGTTATATTTTTGTGGGTTTTTGCAAAACATGCATTTTTTAAACCACACAATCTGTTTTGTGGCCCACTATTTACGACCATAGGCGTGGTGACCCGGATGGTGGGGCGGGTGATGCTCATGGTGAGCATGGGACTCGTGGTGTTCATGGTGGTGGTGGTGGGGATGCTCATGGTGGGGGTGGTGAGGGTGGTGCAGGCTGGAAAAACCATAGATA